TATATATATATTTATAGGTACATACCATTTCGGTCTTTTCGTAGTGCTAGTGCTTTTGTTATGCTGGCGAGAGCTTTGTACTCAGTGAAACTCGCGAGTCTTGAAATGCAGTAAAACTGGGTGCTCCAGTCTATACCACATCATCCTTGCGCACATCCCCATTTTCATCCCAGACCACCAGGTTTCTTCACAGGTATCTGTTTCCGGTTGATACTGTTAGTTGTTCATGGCAAAGCTCCTTATCACCTCTCATCTGGCCCATTTGTATCATCCATGGCTCTTATTGCAGATCACCGGCCCACTGATCCGTGTGGTGTCCGATCGATTTGCCTGGCAAGTGAAGGCGGCTATCATTGACACACTCATGCTGCTGCTGAAGAAGTCGTCGGTGCAGCTAAAGGCCTTCTTACCACAGCTCCAGACGACGTTCCTGAAGGTACGCACCACTCCCCTCTGTTACGGTGTCTGTTGCAGCCTTCCTCGAGACTCAAATGCCATCTTTGTGGGCGTTATTAGGATTGTATCTATCTGAGTAGGCTTATTTACATATCTTATCACAACACGGGTGGGTGAAGGACTATACTGCCCTCGTTTGTGCGAGGCGTTTGCGCAATCCTTTGTGTGTCGGGGTTGTTTTTCCAGTCTTACGTTTCTTATTTAAGCCTTGCGTAAGCCTCAATAATGTATTGTCAATTTTCTCTTACTACGAAAGCCTGCGGATGATATGTGAATGGTTGTCTTACACACACACGTATATATATATTTATATTTATATTTATATGAATATATATATGTATATATGAACATATATATATGTATTTATATAGATATATGTATATATATATATATACATATATATATATATATATATATTCATATAATATATTCATATATTCATATACATACATATATATATATATATATATGTATATATATATATATATGTATATATATATATTAGTATCTTACATACACATTTCCCCCTTACTTCGCGCCATACATCTTTGATGAATTCCAATATCGCTACCAACTCTACCCAATCAATTCTCAGGCACTTGCGGATCACCATGAGGTAGTACGGGGCAAGGCAGCCAAGGCCTTCCTACCCATGGCCGCTGTACACAACCGCATAGACGCACTGGTCATTGAGCTGTGCAACGGTGTGGCAGACGGTGAGGAGCCCACGCGGTCGGCTATGCTACAGGCTTTGGCCAACACTATTCGTGGGGTAAGTATACTATACTATACTGTACCGTATTTTCTCTGAACAGACTGACTTCCTGGTAGGTGTAGATAGATGGGTGCCGGTTGATAGATTGACAGGGTTGTACTGGTTCACGGAACGTTGCGGCGACGTGGTCGGCATTTCATATTACACATAGGCACTAACCAACGGCTCAAGTATATCGAGGCATATAGGCTTAGCATGTAGGTTTATAGCGCACATTTCATACATGTTTCTGATGCTTCATTTACCTTATTATGTCTCTATGCGTGTGTACATGTTGCTGATACTTCATTTTTCCTGTATGCGTGTGTATGTGATTCTGATACTGCATGCATCGTATTCCCGTATATGCAGGGTGCTTCTAAATTTGCTGAGAAATCTACAACACTCGCGCTCGGAATACTACAAGACATCTGGGATGACGACAAAGAAGAGTAAGTCGAAGTGGCGACCAACAGCTCCAGAGCATGCTATAACATATTTTTAATATTTATTTCCACTTGCAAGCTTCTACTATTTTATATTAAGCTAGTCCTTAGTATGGGCAGAGCTTTCGCGCTGAAAGACATCGCATATTCTGTACACGTATGGCACAACCACGCGGCAAGCCGCATTGCTATCTGTAGTGTACTTACGCCGAAAGGGGCATAAACCCTAAACCGTAAATCGCTCTATGCCGCATGTATTATCTCTGCTTATTCAATATATCCTGTTCACCTCCTTGCTGCATGTATTTTGTATCTCTGCCCCCCCCCCCCATCTTCTCCCCCCAGAGTGCGAACGCTGGCGGCCACCTGTGTGGGATGTCTGGGCACTTCGATGGACGACGATGTGCTCAACAATCTACTGGACAATGAGGTGCTGGCCCCCCCCACATCAGCCAACGAACAACAGCGCAATCTATGTACCCTCTCTGGTATGTAGTAGGTACATGTCTAGGGTTTAGTGTTCTAGGGGTTTGGGAGGTTTGTGGTCAGCGGCGAATCCTTTGCACTCTTATCTGACGCGTGAGTCGGGGAACTATAGGGTTTAAAGGTTTAGGGTCCACAGCGAAGTCTGAGCACCCGATCTGGTATGTGGCTGTAGCTCAGGCGTCAAGTGTGCCATGGGGAAAGCATGTCTTAAACACTGCCCCAAAATGTGTAGGCAGCTTAGTTAATTGGAGGTGTGTGTAGTAATTGGGTGGGGTGTGCCGGTAGCGGTGGTCTGTGACCAGGTTTGTATGGGGTGTCACTGTGCATCTTGGCTGATACTTGTCTGGGGCCCAGGCGAATAATCTAGAAATTGGCGCTGTAGTCGCCTTTCTTGGTGTCGATTGCATTGAAGCGAGATGGAGTGCCTTGGTATTGTCCGAGTTCTTACTGATATAGTATTATGATACAGACTATCAACACACCCACACACCCACACACCCACACACACACACATCCATGCGGCATTGTGTACTAATATACCGCATCCACTCACCTGGCCTGTCTGTGCAGCTGCCCTATCCCCTACCACTGGGTGTACAACACACACAAACACATATCACACACACACACACACATCCATGCGGCATAGTGTACTAATACACCGCATCCACTCACCTGGCCTATCTGTGCAGCTGCCCTATCCCCTACTTCTGGGTGTGCAACACACACAATCACATATCACACACACACACACATCCATGCGGTATTGTGTACTAATACACCGCATCCACTCACCTGGCCTAACTGTGCAGCTGCCCTATCCCCTACCACTGGGTGTGTGGCGCGTGTGTGGTCCAGCGACCGACAGTTGCCCATTGAAAGAGAGGTTGTCCGGGGACTCAGCAGTAAGAATGGCGATACCGCCTGCGCTGCGTTACAGGCGTGTGGCAATCTGCTGACTTACCTGACCGCCGAGGAAGGACATACGTCACAGAGGTATGGCTGGCCTGGGCAAGGCAAGGTAGAGCTTTTAAACGAAAACCTTAGCACAGGTACAGTTGTTGGGGCAGTTAGGTACTCTCCCAGATAGATGTGTCCTTCTCCCAACTTCTCCCCTGGATTTATTATAGATAGTCACCATTAGAGCGGTTTCAGCTACTTAGCAAATTGAGGACGGGTGTCGGTGTCATGCAACTCAGATAATGGCCCACCGTATACTTATAGTCCACTTCGGAGTCGGTCGTGTGCATATTGTTGTCAACTCTGTACCTGTCAGTGCTGACCTAAGTATCGTAGTCATTGCGTCCAGTTAGCTCTATCAATATTTCAACCGGGTACTGCGAGTGCGCACACCGATCCCCAAGTGCTCTACGTAGCCCGCAGAATCACTTGCACCGCACAAGCATGGCCACACAACACTCCACCAGTGCAATGTGGCACGGGGGTTGACTTGTAAATCGAGAGAAACGCCCACTTACGCGTCTTATTTAGCACTTACAACCGAAGGGGGCAAGCTACACGCCGCTGTAACTAACCCCAATCGAACGCCCAGCACTCACCCAAACGATCTAGCAAGTACTGAACGCACACTATAGCCCGCTTCACACCCAGGCATGCGGATGGATACTCCCCGACTCACCCCACCCCCACACACTCACAGCCTGCCACAGAGTATCCTGCCAGCATTTGTGACAGCCATCCAAGGTCCCCAGAGTGACCAGAGGCACAGGGGGTGCCAGGTGGTGGCTGACTTAGCCAAGAGGTCACCTGCCTTCACGGACGAGAAGCCCGTGCAGACACTGGTCTTACCCGCTTTATTAACGGTTGCGAAGGTGTGTTTTCTGGGTGGGTGCAATGTGTATGTTCAGGGGTTTTGGTATGTTTCACTAGGCTCCGGTGTCGGCTTTGACATATGCGACAGAGGGTATCTATTTACCCAAATTAAATAATAATAATATCATTACTATCGCGAGTGTACCGGACATTCTCCATACGGAGTTGCTTGTGGACGGTTGTGGACTGTGGTGGTGGTGGGCCTTGGACGACCCGATGTGGGTGTGACGCACGCGAACGATTAGATCTATCAATGCGTGCAAGAACTGCACAAACACGACGCAAGCGATACAAAACCACATCACACACCTGTGTTTTGGTGTATGCATGGCAGACTGCAGTACCACCCTCCGACTACTCTCCGCAATGCTTGTTGCATGTACGTACCCTCGTTTCCCAACACCAACTCACGCATATACGCACTCGCACTCGCCACTCGTTCACCCCCCCCCAACACACACACCCCCACCCACACCCACAGGAGAAGCAGCACATGTACGTCAAGCGCGCAGCCGAGCGAGCGCTGGTGCACTGTTTGCATCTGCGAGACGGCACGTGGGGCGTTGACATGGCCGTGTCCAATATGACGGGCCCTGCCGCCAGCGTGCTCAAGGACTATGCCGATGTAAGTGGCGCTGCTAGCACGCTGTTCTGGTCGTGCTGTTTATGGCGTGTCTTTGTTGCAGCTATGTAGCACGCGCACAAGTTATGTTGTTGCAGCTTTGTAGTACGGGTACAGGTTATGTTCTATGAGGGGTTTAGGCAGAGGCGGGGTATTGCTCTGCTTTCAACATTGTGTGTGCTGCCAGTTGTACTATTGGGCTTTGGGATGTTTGGATTAAGTGGTAACTGTTGCTGCTTGATCGTAAGTGATGCTTCATTTTATCAATATATGGCCTTGGACGTGACATGAGTCGTGTCGGCGGGTATGTAGATGGATCGTCGTTACCACGGAAACGATATTGTGTACATAAAGTTCTTTGTTCGTTTTAAGCTGGCGAAACCATCCAATCTCATATCACGCCGTCTGTGCTTGCAAGTACACGGACAAACCAACAAGCTATATCTATGTTCACGTTTGTGCTCCTGTTGTACCATGGGGTGCGCCTATTTGATTAACCAAACCTTTGGGTGTGATAGATTCTCACTATGAATTCTGTTTTTGTCTTTCGATTACACAGCGAGTACTTGGACAGGTCGCCGATTTGACAGACGATGAGGAGTAGAACAGATACTTTAAAACGCAAAAAATAACACCCACCCCCCCACACACACACATCTGCCGGGCCGGGCCCTAAGTGAATAAACTAGACTTTGGATCAAGTGCACGCATTGTCTCTATGTTCTCAGTCTGTTGTCATACAACACATGTCTGGAAGGCCCCCCAAATACCTGCCGGACCCTAAGTGAATACACTAGACTTTGGATCAAGTGCACGCATTGTCTCTATGTTCCCAGTCTGTTGTCATACAACACATGTCGAGAAGGTTGACTCACTTCAACTCAAGGGGAGATCATCAATTCAATTTCACATTCGAGAGGCTGAGGTCGAAGTAGTGACGGATGTATGATACTGGAGTAATATTGGGCATGTTTCTGAGTTATATCAAGATCTTGTGGAGGCTTGTCCTCGGATAGCTATTACAATCTACCTTGACCATATATTGATTGCCTAGTCGCACATGTTTCATGCTATTTTTATTCTCTTGACAATCGTGGGTACCGATGATGCTCGGGTGCACACATTTGTCTCCGTCACTCTTACTTTAGTTCTTACAAATATGTATATGAAAACTTGCCTTGAAAAGCGTACTGCAGTAGAACACCTTGATGGATATACTATACTTTGAATATGCGTCGCAGATTCTCTTAACGCTCAACGTTTAACGTGTTACAAACGTGCATGGATAATTTATTCACTCGAACTGAGGCGAGTTAATTGTTCAGTTTTCGATTGCGGTTTCCAAGTCGACAAGCTTCAGCCGACAGAGTGTCCCATGCCGAGTAAAATAGTCCGCACGCTGCAAAGTTCTGTACCAAAAACTTGCCGGGCCCATCCTCTGACATCTAATATGATGTTAGTCCTTATACTGTGATTGCCTCTTGAACCGCACCATGCTCTGTGGTAGGTGCCAACTGATGGCAAAGCTCATCCCGGTGCACGCAGTCGTCTCCCCGCCCCTCATTACTTGTTAAGTCAAGTCGCCGAACTGATCCAGACGTGACTGGTTGTGTTTATCTATTTACATTGTGCGGACTGTGTCTTCTGCGGCATGTGTTCAGTATGTATGTCAATCCTGGGTGAGCACTGGGTTCTCGCTTGAGGCACCACAGCACGCTCTATAGCTGTGGTTAGGACAGCCAGAATAGTTCGGGACGACCGCTGACTGCGAATACCATCGGGGTACCGTACCTAACGGAAGGGCTGCCTTAGACAGCGGTTATATATAAATGATAGGGACTCGATGAAGTCTCCTGTGATTCAGTGTGGATTGTGTGGCCCGCACCAGAACTATATCTACAAATGGCCAAGTGATCAAATCTTCTGCCACGCTGCCTGGCAACCCTTTCGAATCCTACACCAGGACTATCGTTCCGTTTCCATACACCCCCATACGTCCTATCTTCACCCTCTCGCCCACCAACCGTTTCCCCATTCACCGCTGGAAACTCATGATGTCGTTTATGGCGGCGCAGGCCATCTTGTTCAGCTGATCCAGCTGGTCGCTCACGTGCTCCTTCAGCGACACAGCGTCGTTCAGTGACGCGTACAGCGCAGGAATCATCTGATTGCGCTCGGCCACCTGGCGCTGCACTTGGTCTTCGTATCTGTAGCGCGGGGGAGTTTGAGGCGTTGTGATTGGTGGCTATTTTTAGACCATATGCTGAGCAGGCTATGGATTAGCGTGGTTGGGATAGTACGAGTGTTGGTCGCATGTAGTTTATTGGATCTTTGTATCTTTACAGAGTGAGAGGGGTCAGAGTAGCACGACGAGCCGGGTGCTCTATTCGTTAGCTGTGATGTAGTTCATGAGTATATGCCATTGCGTTTGTACGAGTAGAAGCGAACGTAGTCATCTGCGGGTCAGTGCAATTAAGGGAACCTGTTTAACAGATTTATGGGTCCTCGAGGGACGCAGGTGTCAAGCGGACTATGCGAGGGTGCATGGAGTGGCATTGAAGAATGGACATTGTATGTGTAGCATGAGTGGGACCTAGGAACGATTTTCCAGTTAATACGCAGAATGTGCAGTGATATGCCTTGTGAATACGAACACCCGTATCTCGATACATACGGGCTAGTAAAGTGGTTAGAGAGACCCTTAGTTATGGTACGCGCAGCTTTAAGGGAAAATGTAAGCAATAAACAGGACAATTAGGACCGATGCATAAAGAATCCTGGTCCTGGGATCGTTGGCGTTAAAAGGGTGAAAGGCTAGTGCTAGTATTCTCGAAGCTCAAAGTGTATCTAGGACAGTCTATTGATTCATACAGGCTTAGTAGTGGCCAGGTGCCTGATTTCAATACCACCGAGCGATTCGGCGTAGACCAGATTGGCAACATATGTACAGACGAGAAAGGGAGCGCACGCGGATCTGCCTGACCAAACGCCGACAGCAGCGACACATGATAAGAGCGAAGCAACCATGTGTACAGGAGACTGACTAAACGCAGAGAGGACTTGGCCTTTTGCGGATAGCCACACATATGATTATCGGCGGCCATCGATAGATATTGCTGTGATCTGGACCCTTCGCACGCGTACCTAAACCGTTTAATATCGAATCAGTACATACTGTGCCTGTAATCTTTGCAGCGATCCGTCGTGGTAGACGATGTCCATTTGCGTAACCTGCTCCTCTAATTCATCCTCGGCCATCTGTAGGCTCCTCAGCGTCGAATTCGCGATCTAAAGAAGTAGGCCGAGAGAAAAAGGGGTTACGTAAATACACGTCCGGTACGTAAACCAAGAACAAACCGCACGAGTATTTCAGACTGGCTCTCGTAAAGTGCGGAACACTACCGTTCTCTTGCTGATGGATCATATGTTTGCTGGCACTCTTTACGTAAATACACGCCCAGTACGTAAACCAAGATCAAACCGCACGAGTATTTCAGACTGGCTCTCGCAAAGTGCGGAACACTGCCGTTCTCTTGCTGATGGATCATATGTGTACTGGTACACATGTAGCAGCTGTCACGCACACCTGGACTTCAGCAACCGCACACGGGTCTTGAGTATATATAAAGGTTGTTCGCCAGAAGTTTAGAAACAATACGTAAGGCCACGTCTTATGCATGCCGTGAATTCGACTTTGCAGGAACGATACTGATTGACCAAAACTGAACCAGGTTTCCATGTATAATACAATAGGGGCTTGTATACCGAGCCAGCATGTCAGGACTTACGTCTTTCTTGTCGCGGTATTGCGCTTCCAGTCGGTGCAGTTTGTTCCTGAGGTCGTTAAGCCGGTTGTTGCTTTCGGTCAGATCTTCGTTCACCTGAAATTAGTCACGGAAATGGGTCAGCTCGAAATTAGAAAGAATACCGTGCCTGTTAGCAGGACAAAAAAAACCCGCACGGCTCTTGACTCGCAGTTGACAGGCAATGCAGCTAGTCTCAAATGATTCGGACAGGGCCAGTTCTCGATTGCGAAGCAATCCACCCATTTTCAAACGGGAAGCACAGTCTATAGCAGTAAGTGCTGTGCGCATGTAGGTAGCATCCGCCTTACAAGGGCATGTACTCGTACACTCACACATTCACACACCCATACACCCACAAATTCACACACTCATGCACGCCTGCCAACACACCTGCTCGTGCTCCTCCTGTGCTTCCAGCAGAGAGTTCTGCACTTCTCTGATGTTGGCGCTGTGCGATAGCTTGAGCTTCTGCAGCGCTGGCGTGATGGTGTCCTTGAGATAGCCTAAGAGGTTGCGCTCGGGTTCTGGTTCTGAGGACTTGTACTCCAGCTCGTATCGCATCCCCGCCGCGTTCTATTTAAAAAAAACATTCGCGAAAATGTTTAATACTCAGACTCATTGAGCTTCATCTTAAGGGTGAACCATTACAACCACTCAAGTAGGCAGCATTGGGGGGATCGCATGCAGTGGCGATTGCCATAGGCTACGTCATAGTGGCGCAGACGGTATCTGGGCTGTTGTAGCGAATCTGCAGACTCCTTCAACAGAGATTCAGCCCAATATCAAATGCAGTGGTGTCAACAACCGGTTGGCGCAATACACACTCTGTCTATCACCACTCTGTATAATGCACATGCATATTGGATGTCTTGGAGAGGTAGCTCAATAGGTGATGGAAGGTCACCAAAGGCTGATGTTATGATGACAGCCCCTATGGATGCATGCCTACGACGCGCATCGTACGTCGCAGGCATCACTTTGAAGGCAAAAGCAAAGGACTTAGAAGGAAGAAAGAATACCGGTTGGATATTACTTCACCGATACTGACACCCGGAAATAGATATGTGGGTCAGTCACATACACATACCTTGGCTGAAGAGGGCACAACGCCGATGCTACCAGCTAACTCGTGATACGCATAAATCTTGCGGTGGATCTGCCGAGAGAGAGAGAGAGAAAGAGAGGTTGCGATGTGTTGATGTGGTGAGTACTTGCTATTGGTCTCTATTTTTAGACACGGCAGGGGCAAACTTCACAGTCTCAGACGTAGGGTTATTCGCTACGGGAAAAGGGTGTATCCAAGAGTACCATTCACTTGTATAACCGGATAGAACTCCCTAAGCATTTGCACTCGGAGACATTACCTCTTGAGTGGCCAGTGTGATCTCCTTCTCTCGCTCGAATAGCTTCATGTCGGAGTCTTCCTTCTGCTTCTGCGCATCTTCCAAGCTCTTCTTCAGCTGAAGTGTACAATGGTTGAATGTTTGCCCATAAGTTAACTATCAACACGCGTGCCAGAATCTTTTCCTCTCGTTGAACTAAAGTACTCGGGGTACACACATACGCATGTGGCCTAGAATGTATGTGTGTTTGTGCGAACTTATGAGCGCGGGTATAGATTATGCCCCCAAATATCTTCACGGCAATATTCAGGCACTTAAAATATACGGGCGAAGCAACGTTCGTGAGCGAGTTTACGAAATGGTCGATAATAACAGAAGTGTCTAACGGACTAATGTCTGAGAATGGGATAGACCTGCGACCACAGTGCAGTTGTTTGTTGGTGATTTGGGTGTCCAACAAAGGGCCGTACGCGATCGTACAAACCCAACAAACCCAACACGGACACGCTGCAAACACACATGCACTGCACAGTCAGAGTCTGTATAGACAACGAGGTATTATGAAGTATAGTCGAACACGATACGATACCATGGCCAAAATCAGACATATGACGACAAAAACAAAAAACAAGCATGCGAGTCTTTGTGCCATCAGGCGCCCCGAGAGACTGTGTATAAACCCAGACATACGTCCCACATGGAGTCGTGCGAGATGTGCTTGTTCCCATGCTATTTGAGAGCCTGGATTATCCTCCTTGTATCTTAGATATATATGTCTACAACACGTTTAGTGTATGCGGGCCGACGGGCTGCAAATCCCTTGCATACACCCTTGCAGCTCGCAAAACCACGAAACACACACACACCCTGGCTATCTACGACACTTACACACTCAACCTGAATACGAACCATAAACTACATACACAACCCGAGTATAATCCAAAACATACATGAACGACCCGAATAGAATCCAAATATATATACACAACCCAAGTAGAAACCCAACACTTACATGAGCCCTATCCATATTAATGCGGAGCACATCCGTTGGCGACAGTTCCTGGTTGGCCAGCACGTTGTTCAGATGCGATGACTCCGCTTGCAGTTGCGCGGCCTCTTTGCGTGCTTGCTCCACCAGGGCTGTTTTCTCAGCCAACTTCTTCTGCCTGGACATCAGCTTTCGTTCGTAGTCTGAGTGCAGGGGGAGTTGATAAACGTAGTTGGTCTGCTTACACGGTGTGTGTTAGTGTCGGCTTGAACTGCAGAGTCTATTTCTGAGGTGGTGGCACATAGAATACCCGCAAGGCCACTGTGCCAGAGACACTTAGGGGTGACGGATGACGAACAATGGTAAGGCGTACGATAACTAAAGGTGTGCCGGCGGGGAAACAGGCAAAGCAGCTTGAGGACTCTCGGCACACGGCCGTATCTCCAACACACACTATGAGATAAGGCATTGTACAAGCTCAACAGTATTTTGTACACTGACTCTCACCCTCGGATAGAGTGAGCTTGCACAGTACTTGCTTGTCTGTATATTCGAGACAATCGAAGATAGAGACCACTGAATGACGCTTCAGGCGAAGTTTATTGTAAACGGCACGCACGCGATACGTCAGCCCACAGGAGACGTAGACGATCGCATCCCAATCGTGCATTGGGGTGAGAGAACTTTTGCAGCTCCCCAAGACACAACACACAACACAGCCATGGTCCTCCATACTGATATCACGAACGGAGCGCGCATGTGGCCGGTGCAAGCTGCAATTCCGCAATACCCACAATAGAGACACAGTCCATGCCACGGATATCTAAAGTACCAATCCGGTCCATGTGCTTGGTACATCGTAGTACACTGTCCATGTACATGGTGCATCGCAGTTGAGTAGTGTACTGATACGTATGATCCAGCGCCTTACCTTGTATCACGCGCACAAACTTCCGCATGTCAGATTCGCAATCGGCTTTCATCTGCGTCGCCTCTTGCAGCGGAGTGGGGCCCTGCGTGTACCTGCAGCGGCCATGGGCACGACGCAAATGCACAATATCAACCTACTAGTCACCTCGGCATTTGTACTCATGTTTAATCAATGTGTGTGTGTGAGGCATAATATTAAGCAAATAGCCTACTAGTCACCTCGGCATTTGTACTCGTGTATAATCAATGTGTCAATACTAAGCAACCTGCCAACTAATCACCTCGGCATTTGTCCTCATGTGTAGTCAAGGTGTGCGTGTGAGGTATGAGAGGGTGTGGGGAGAAGTCCGGGGGTGTCCATGCCCACCTGCCTCAAGAAAAGCGGGACAGGTGCCTTTGCGTATGAGAGAAACCAATGAACACGTTCTGCGAGAATCTGTTTATAGAACACGAAGTGAGTTACCGCAGATTGGAGCGGATGAGAAACAAACCACCAGCAAACACCTCAGTGGGCCAACTATGAGACATCACTCCCCCCGTCACACAACCCAAATCAACGGTCGAACCTGTCATGCACTCAACACTACTGCGAGAAATCGACGCAACAGACACATCTGACCAGATAGTACTACTTGTCTCCGATGGTATCCGCACAGCCATTGTCCTACACATATGTGAGGATCATACATACGCATGACACGGATAACAAGTGAGTAGTATCAGCTATTCACCTGACAGATTCATTCTTCAGCCGGTCGATGCTCTGATCAATCTGTTGCTTCCGTTCAAGGAGAGAGTCCTTTCGTCGTGAGAACAGCGTGAGATCGGTGCCGTCGTCGTCGTCATCGTCTCCTGTGCCTAGCATGAAACTGGCATAGGCCTATAGTACCAGTAGGATATAAGCGAAAGTCGATACAAGTATAATATACCAGTAGTACGCAGACAAGTAACTATGCAAGTACATACTTTAGTAGGATAGAAGCAAAGGTCGACAACGATATAAAATACCAGTAGTATGCAGACAAATAACTATATAAGTACACATGCTTTAGTAGGATAGAAGCAAAGGTCGATAACGGTATAAAATACCAGTAGTATGCAGACAAATAACTATACAAGTACATACTTTAGCAGGATATAAACAAAGGTCAACAAAGGTATAAAATACCAGAAGTATGCAGACAAACAACTATATAAGTATTTATTACCAGTAGGATACAAACAAAGGTTTATATGACTATATAATACCAGTAGTATGCACACAAACCACTATATAATATATATTACCAGTAGGATACAAACAAAGGTTTATATGACTATATAATACCAGTAGTATACACACAAACCACTATATAATATATATTACCAGTAGGATACAAACAAAGGTTTATATGACTATATAATACCAGTAGTATGCACACAAACCACTATATAACATATATTACCAGTAGGATACAAACACAGGTTTATATGACTATATAATACCAGTAAGATACAAACAAAGGTTAATATGACTATGTAATACCAGTAAGATACATTCAAAGAATTATATAAGTATATATTTCCAGTAAGATACAAACAGAGTGATATACAAGTATTTGTTTCCTGCAGGACTAAACAAAAATTATGTAAGTATATATTCCCAATAGGATACAAACGAAGGACTATATGAGAGTATATAATACCAGTTGACTTTGATACCCACGTACTCGAACATACATCTCCCACAAACCTCATACAAATATATACTACATACACGCTGTTACACTCCCTTGATATAAAACAACGTTTCTATACACACGACTTGAAATAGTATGAGACGGGACGAATGGCACACGCCTACCTTAGACACATATTCAAATACATGCTGGGCTTGGGCGTCTCTCGGCACACCTTCGTCAAACTCCGACACCGAGTAGAAATATGGGGCAGGGCCAATGCCTTCATTATACTGCCAAGGTGATGGTGGGACAAAAAGAAACGTCAGCAAACGGGCAAGATGCCGTGCCCAAGCCACTCCCCAGGCCTGTCATTCTAGTGCTAGTGCGAAACACCCCCATGATTAGAAAGGGTTAAAAGCAGGACAACAAGATGTGGATAGTTTGAAGTAACTTTGAAGTGAGGTACGATGAAAAAAAAAGAGCGCGCCGCAGTTGTGAGTGATTCCAGTGGACACACAGAAGATCTGATCTGTCAGCAGAGACAAGCCGATGCAGTGCGGCATGGTGCGATATAAGGTGGCTGTATATGTACCATGTAACACACTCCCAATACTATACAGAACTACCAGAGGCATGTCAAGTGGTAAAGGAGACGGTTTACACACGAACTATAAATTCAGACTCAGTGCACATGGTCATGACACGCGGTATAAGCGGTATCACACTCACACCACGAGTGCCTGCAGCAGTCCTGACTAGAGGGGCTGTGTGTGCACTGCGGGTGGACAATAGAAAGGAAAACAAATAAATATAGAAACAGGAAACCAGGTTTCAGCCGCAGATATTTGTTAGACATACAGACGGATACAACCGGAATAACTACACGATTCTTATTAAACGGGCAGACAATGCGGTCCGAACAAGTGCACAGAAAGGTATCATGACGGGGTGACAGGCAGAGTACTGGATAATTAGGTGAAAGTGTGGAGGGAGAGAAAAGTAAGCCATCCACGTGTATCACACGTGTTTAGGTATACACGTCTTGATACATTAATGGGCGGTTATCTATTTATATACATCCACATATCGAGATACATTAATGGGCGGTTATCTATTTATATACATACACATATTGAGATACATTAATGGGTGGCTATCTATTTATATACACCCACATATCGAGATACATTAATGGGCGGTTATCTATTTATATACATCCACATATCGAGATACATTAATGAACGGTTATCTATTTATATACATCCACATATCGAGATACATTAGTGGGCGGTTATCTATTTATATACATCCACATATCGAGGAACAGCACACCTGGCACAGCTCAACCAGCCAATGCAGAGCGCCCAGAAGGGACGGCCACTCCATGGGAGTAAAGGCCAGCAACGACGACTGCTTCAGTACGAAGGGATATCTGTAAAACACACATGTGAAATGAATACACACGTGTACAATTGAAGATACACGCGTTAGTATCCGTATACACATGCATATGCATATGTGTGCCCATTACATAGATACATTGTCATCCAAAAAATGTGCTTAAACATCGCCTACGATACGCTCTTGCGTATAGTTTGGCGAGCAAAGCTTGGCCTATCTGCTTAGTGCAATACTGGGTGGGTAGATGTGAATGTTTAAGATGGTCCGCCTAATTATCACCTTCAATAGAATCAGACACATTACAAACAGGCGATTCCTCATACCAACTGTACCCGAAGGCTAACTATGCGACTGAAAGCGGCTGGTTATACATCCCTATCGATATACCGCCATATTATGTCGTGTCCAAAAATAGCAATAGTAAATACGCTAGCCAATCAGAATCGTTATCGTACACCGTTTTAGTCAAGCACTATACCTACCTCACGCCCTTCATGAGGATGATGACTTCTGGGATGGTCCGTTCTGTGTTATTCTCCGGGAACTGTACAGGGATGTGAGGTGTGAGCGTTAACAGCTAATAGGAGAATCTCCGAAAACCGAAAGGAGTGGTCGGTTTTCATTCAGTCGGATACTTCTAGTGTGAATTGATGGACATCTGCCCTGCACATAAACACTCGCAGATGATGGTTGAAAGAAAGGCCACCCCCGTAGATATGATTACACGCACACGCACACACTCACACAGAGTATACACACACGCACACACTCACATATCCATATCCATACACGCACAAACTCGAACAGTATACACACACGCACACTCACATATCCACCCACCCACCCATCCAGAATACACACACGCACACTCACATATCCATACATCTACACACTCAAACAGTATATACACACACACACTCACATATCCATACACCCACAAACTCACGTATCCATACACCCACACACCCAACCAGTATACACACACGCACACTCACATATCCATACACCCACACACACAAACACGGCACGATGTGACTCAGTGATGAGACCCTGAAGGGGTATCCCAGAAGACCTGCCAACAGCTGCTTGCCAAGAGGGTGGTTGCACACACCTTGTACCCGTTGTCTAGCTGTGTATACAGGAACTGGAATATCCGCAAAAAATCTTTCATCATAGGCTGGGTTAACAGTTTGATGGAAATGGGATGACTGTAACCTGGGCGTGGGAGAAGATGATGTACCGAGCACGCACAAAGTGAGTTTCCAAGTTATAGAGCATATCTCAATAGGATGGCTACTATGTCATATGCCGATAGCGCAAGCGGGAAAGACTGAGGGTGCACAGACAAGTGTATCATACACGCAACTAGTGGAGCGAATGCCACAGCACATGGTGAGACATGCTTATAAGTGTAATAGTAGTTGACGTGCATGGACAAAACAGAGAGTTGAATACAGAATTGTGCTGTATCTGCCAACAAACAACAATGCCTAAGCACAAACTAGTACAAGAGAACGATCATAGCGATCAATAAACACGAACGCGTCGGCACACCAAACCTGTGCTCTGCCTGATCTCTAAACGAGTAGCCACATTTGGAAATGAGAACAAGTTACCAATCAAATATAACCATCACATATCAGACACTACACATTTGCAAATGAGTTCAAGCTACCAATCACATATATACATACCATATCAGACACCATACATTTGCAAATGAGATTAAGTTACCTATCACATATTACTATAACATATCATACACCATACATTTGCGAATGAGATCAAGTTACCTATCACATATAACTATAACATATCATACACCATACATTTGCAAATGAGATCAAGTTACCAATCACATACAACCATCACATACCAGACACTACACATTTGCAAATGATCAAGTTACCAATCACATACAACCATCACATATCAGACACTACACATTTGCAAATGAGTTCAAGCTACCAATCACATAACTATCACATATCAGACACCACACATTTGCAAATGAGATCAAGTTACCAATCACATATAAACATAGCAAATCAGACACCACACATTTGCAAATGAGATCAAGTTACCAATCACATATAACCATAGCATATCAGACGCTACACATTTGCAAATGAGATCAAGTTACCAATCACATACAACTATAACATATCAGACACCACACATTTGCAAATGAGATCAAGCTACCAATCACATATAACCATAACATATCATACACCATAAATTTGCAAATGAGATCAAGTCACCAATCACATACAACCATCACATATCAGACACCACAAATTTGCAAATGAGTTCAAGTTATCAATCAAATATAACCATAGCATATCAGACGCCACATATTTGTAAATGAGTTCAAGTTACCAATCACATATAACCATAACATATCAGACACCATACATTTTCAATTGAGATCAAGATACCAATCACATACAACCATAACATATCAGTTCCAACCATCACATATCAGACATCACACATGTGCAAATGAGTTTAAGTTATCAATCACATATAACCATCACATATCAGATACCACACATTTGCAAATGAGTTCAAGTTACCAATCACATATAACCATCACATATGAGACGCCACACATTTTCAAATGAGTTCAAGTTACCAATCACATACAACCATCACATATCAGATACCACACATTTTGCAAATGAGTTCAAGTTACTAATCACATATAACCATCACATATCAGATACCACACATTTGCAAATGAGTTCAAGTTACCAATCACATATAACCATCACATATCAGACGCCACGCCCGAGCTGCCGTACATCAGAAAACAATCCAACGCCACACATTGCACCTCAACGGGCACAGACAATCAACACCATCACACGTACAAGTAAAATGACCCCACTAAACGTTACAACTCAGGAGTTATATCTTGGTAGGACTGGACTAAAAGCGTACCGTTGGTTGTGAGATAGCGGAACATGTGTGCACAGCATTGTTTGCGGTATTCTTTATCGCTGAGGGGTCGGGTGTCTTTGTTGGCCGAGCGCTCGCCATAGATGCTGGATCGCCTGCAATAGCGGGAGCAAATATCATGCACGAATCATACTTTAAACATAGTGCCCGTCATCCACTATGGATAAGTACAAGCAATCCAAGCAAGCTTAAATGCACAAGTTTCGATACGGAGATAGACTATATACACGGAATAGTTGGTGACCATTATAAACACCGCCAAGTGAGTGTGACACACTTTTCTGGACAGTTTTGGCTTGTTCTCTCACGGCCTACAGCCAAACGTGCTTGTACATCAATGCATACGTGCATATGTATGTAGACATGAATATATTGTCAACATACGTCTGGCTGTTGTTGAAGCGACGTACAATACCTATACAAGTACTAAACTAAACAGCCCACAGCTACACAGATGGGCAAACTAACTATACAACAGCCCACCTTGACATAGCCATGGACGATTGATGGTGTCCAAAGCCAGTACTGCGGCGATCCTTCTTTGGAGGTTGTATCTCTCCCCGTGTGGCTGATCTCCTTCTACCCGTCGCCATGGACTGTCGCGCATATCCCGCATGCGAACTACCACTGTCACGGTATGACTCTTGCGATGCGTTGCTGTTGGAATAGGCCAGGCCTCGACTGGGTGCAACGGGTATCATGCTGCGCCTGCTGATGTGGGTCAGGGAAGTAGATAAAATAAGAAGCGACATGGTTGAAGTCTTGTCAGACAATTGTACTACAGGAGATAACCTGATACGTACGAGAATGGTGAGATAAAAGCAATGAACTGCGAATCGATGAAATTAGGATAACAGTCACATGGGTAATACAT